AAATTGATCACTGGATTGTCTGGTCCAGACTCGATTATTTACAGACCGCCTTCATATAGCTGGAAGATTGCTGAGCGCGGCGTTAACAACCAACCAACCAACCAACTAGATGCATAACCTGGCCCTTGGTATTTGATATGCATCTGAGAATAGGGACACCACAAACCAACTCTATGTGCCTTCATTATATAGCATGATTCACATATTAGTGCTAACTATCTTTATGAATCATGCGCCGGGTATATGATTTTATTCAGCTTTTTATTTAAGATACTATAACTAACTTCTTCTTTTTTAAAATGACGATATTGTCACAGAGTGACTTAACAGCACTCTGGACAACGCAATGTTAAAGAATTGTAACTTCTGAACAACTTTCCTTTTGTACAGTGTTGAGTACATAACGTTTAGGAAATCTGGACTATTTAACATGATGTAATCCATGCGTAACAGCGGTCAGTTGAACCATTGTCTAACACAGCATTTCACATTATGACATTTATAGCCTTAATCCATTTCCCCCTGGGCCGTGTCTGTAATCACATCCATAAGCCCTATGTCCAGGGCAACGCCATTGTCTCTTTGTCTGTCTATTGTTGTCCAATAGTGTATATATATGTTTACATCTTTACTGTTAGTTAGTCTGGTATTCCGACAGCACCTGTATGTACAGCCGCGAGTAGGATACGCCTGCTTGCTGGACTTCACTTGTAGTTGTTGAGTTGGAATCTCCGCTCGACATATTTCTATTAGTAATTGTATTTGTTTGCATTATTGCCGACTAAAGAAGTTTGGACTCAACGTATTCTTCGTCTTCAATCTGAAGTTGCCTATCGAAAGTATTTGAAACGAATGTCCCAAAACGTGCACAATATCTTTCTGATAATACAGTTATTTCTAGTTTGCAATCCGGGTTTACCGCCGGTGACTCAACTGCTTACCAACCAACCCAGCTTTATTATTTCATAGGGGGCACGGGTGGTCCAGTCGTCTACTTAAGGCGCCGCGATTCGATGTGAAGAGTTGCGTCCCTTGGGCACACTAGAAACCTGTGATTGTGGGTTCGAATCCCGGTTCGCCCCGATTATGTTTCTAGGTTTGTCAGCACCATACCCGTGCTCGTGGGTTTCACCGAAATGGTAAAAGTCTGAGACCTGTATCACTTCGGGCTTTCCTCCCACATCAAGCTGACACGCCGTGATATAACTGGAATACTGTTAAAAGCGGCGTTAAACCCAACTCACTCACTCACTCCAATGTAATATAGAAGTGTTTGCTGATGATACATCGCTGTATGTCAGTGTTGATGATCCAATATCAACAAGTATTTCAATCAATCACGGGCCAAAACTTGCAAAGTAAACTTTAATCCTGATCAAACAGAACCAAAATATAGAATGTTAATAGCCACAGTCACATTGGGCCACAAGTCATGGGCATTGACATAGCCATATTGAAAATCTAACTGCCAAGGTTGGCCTGTTGATAAATTGCTTTGGTAGTCCGAAATATCGGAGGAATAAACACAGTCTACAAACATGTTAATTCATATTACCCTTGTTTGATTACTGTGAACACAACTGGAATAATTGTACCAAGGGTCAAGAACTGTTCCTGGAAATGTTGCATCTCTATGCACTTAGGACAATATGTGGTGCTGCGGGGGGCACAGGTCATTTAACATTATATGAGGAAACAAGCCTATCCTCCTTGGCAGAAAGACAGCACTTTCACAGATTATGCATATTTTATAAAATGAAAAGTGGAAGGAGCCATATTATCTAAGTGATATGGTACCTGTAATAAACTTAGATCGCCAAATCATGTAACACATAACACTAATGAACACTATGAACCTAATTGCTAAATTGTATAAAAATCATTTTTACTTCCACAGTCTCCGCCTGGAATATACTAGATTCTACTTTGAGAAGCCGCATCAGTATCTCAGTTTACAAAATCTGTATTATTGTGGTAAATCACAAGTGCCTGACATATTGGTTCCCGCGTAAATTCACTGCAAGTTAAGACTAGGATGCAGTGATTTGAACGGTCATAAATTTGAAAGATTTGTTAACATAATACTGCATGTTTCAGTTATTGTGTTCAGTGAAAGTGTTATACACTTTCTATTAATCAACTTGTCCAAATTACACTGAGATTACATCTGAAAGCTATCATTATGTTAATGGATATGACCTTATTTGACAATGTCAACCTAGACAAAGAAATACTTCTTAATATCGTTGATTCTGTACATCAATTCTTCACTATGAGCAAAAGATTTGTATAAACATGCACTCTTATATATATCTCACCAACAACTGTTTATCTTTGATATACCTCATGTGACATAATATCCAATGTATACTACTGTATAACATATATACTACTGCTGGTTGCTCGAGCTTTGATAGGTACCGTATTCTGTCACCATATGCAACAACCTAATTTTTTTAATACAATATTATATATATATATAATATATCATATTGTTTTAAAAAAATCAGGACATGATACCTCTGATTACCCTAAACACATCCTCTCTCCAACACAGCCAACAAAAAGGTCATGGAAAATTTAAAGATGAAACCCATAGTATGCCAATCAAGAGTTTGTTGGCTTGAAATCTAAAAGGTACTACTCATCTATGAAGACAACCAAGTCTTTGCATATGGTGACAGAATCATAGCAGGAAAAGTGAGGAAAGAACCTACAACCGTCAAGTACCTGACGACAGTATATTGTAAGTCTGGAAAGTTTTGCAAGCAGGAAAGTACTGCCAACACTGCAATGACAAACACTCGCAATAGTCTCCTCATGCAAATCTAAGCAGGCCTATTTCTTTTATTCACTTCCACACATTGTCAGACCAGCCAGTACATGGTTAAACGAATAATCTCTCAATCATGTAACACGTTGTCGCTCAGTATCAATAGTCTAATCAAGACAGTTCTCTTATCATCCACATCTCGTGGTCCATACACCACCCAGCCTATCCTGTTAGATAAACGCGCTACTCTAACATTACTTGTCAAATACAACAAGACATATTTTTAGTTTAAAAATACCCTGACTGACACTGAGTTACCATTATTCACGCAACGTCCTACTTATAAAAGATAACACGGGGCAAAGTAGCTTTGATTATTGGTAGTCTCATCAGCAAGGGGTGGGTGGGCACGGGTGGCCCAGTCGTCTAAGGCGCCGCAATTCGCTGTGCAGAGTTGCGTCCCTTGGGCACGCCAGAAACCTATGATTATGGGTTCGAATCCCGGTTCGCCCCGATTATGTTTCTAGGTTTGTCAGCACCATACCCGTGCTCGTGGGTTTCACCGAAGTGGTAAACGTCTGAGACCTGCATCCCTTCGGGCTTTCCTCCCACATTAAGCTGACACGCCGTGATATAACGAGAATACTGTTAAAAGCGGCGTTAAACCAAACCCACTCACTCACTCATCAGCAGGGTGTTGCAATACTTTCCAGACGCAGTACTCACTATACACATGGCACGTTACAAACCACTTTGAGGGTCTTGTCTCTTGTCATATCCCCTTTCCTCTCAAACTAAGACCTCAACAAGCTGTCATTAATGTTAAGACTACAATTGTTTTATGTGGGCAGAACAAGAATGTTGATAGCCTGGATTTCACAGACATCTCCTTACCCGTTTGAGATCCAAAATTTAGAAAAGGAGGAAATCTTCCCCATTCAAATCACTAAAAATAAATTTGAGAAGGATATAGGTAACATATAATCTTTTTGTTTTTGAACATTTCCGTAACATTTGCTTAAAAGCCTAAGAGTTGGACCTTGTACATTTCTATACGCCAATGCTGATGAGATTCACTCAAAATGACAGGTGACATTAGAACTATTAACTGACATCAACATGCATCTGTTGTCGAGTCAGGTCTAAGGAGAGGCATTTCCATGATTACCCATAGACATGCCAAAGCCAATCATCCCAATATTAGATCTATGACCCTTGTCAACAAAAACATCACATTATCTATCTTGATGCCAATAACTGATATGGTCGGACCATGTCACAATCCCTGCCAGGAGCCAGGGATATTCGTTGTGAAGATCATGTTCTGAAATTTGTACAATGCCCGTGGCTCAAGACATATATTGATTTCAACTATGGTAAGAGAAAACAGGCAAGGAATCATTTCAAGAAGGTTAAACCATGGAGAACTTGAGGAAAAGAGTGGATGTCAAATTGGTTTAAGGTCAAAAGAGAGCCAAGCGATCCTTTCGTGCCTTTAGAATAGTCAATAACATAGTAGTTGTTCACATGTTGACACAAAGGTTGTATCTGAACAGACACATGAACGTTGAATTTAGCATTCTGGATGCTTCTAAAGTTCCGATGTATGACTTCCATGATACTTATGTCAACCCTTTCTGTGGCCATACGAGTCATCTCCTTCTCACTGACACAGGCTCTATCTGTTTTGCCATCCAAACAGAAAATATACATCAGGACATGATACCTCTGATTACCCCAAACACATCCTCTCTCCAACACAGCCAACAAAAAGGTCATTGGAAAATTTAAAGATGAAACCCATAGCATGCCAATCAAGAGTTTGTTGGCTTGAAATCTAAAAGGTACTCCCTCATCTATGATGACAACCGAGTCTTGATTAAAAAGAAGGTAATCCAACAACCCACCAGACACAAGCATTATGAACAATGTATCTTTGTAAAACAGATCCACGTGTCTAGTATGACATAGATTCAACAAACAAGCTGGGACAAACCGTACATGATATAAGATGGGGTTACTCGTTTCGCTTATGGAAACTGGAGGATTCCCCATCAGCCCCCACGTCTATAGAAAGAAGTGTTTCTTCACATTTCGTCATTCCTGAGTTGACTGTCAAAGTGGGAGTGAACACAATGGACAAGTTCACTTGCCTTGTATCATTTTTCAAAACCAAGCAACATGAAACATTTGAAAGAAGTACGTTTCACCGAACGAGCCCCGCCAGCTATGACTCATTGGGCCCCTGCTCTGGCTCCCGCTCTTGCTCATTGGGCCCCTGCTCCGGCTCCTGCTCTGACTCATTGGGCTCCTGCTCCGGCTCCTGCTCTTGCTCATTGGGCTCCTGCTCTGTCTCCTGCTCTGACTCATTGGGCTCCTGATTTAGCACCTGCTCTGACTCATTGGGCCCCTGCTCTGGCTCCCGCTCTTACTCATTGGGCCCCTGCTCTGGCTCCCGCTCTTACTCATTGGGCCCCTGCTCCGGCTCCTGCTCTGACTCATTGGGCTCCTGCTCCGGCTCCTGCTCATTGGGCTCCTGCTCTGACTCATTGGGCTCCTGATTTAGCACCTGCTCTGACTCAGTGGGCCCCTGCTCTGGCTCCTCTGTCTCCTGCCCTGGCTCCTCTGGTTCCTACTCTCGCTCCTGTTGTGGCTCGTCTGTTTCCTGCTCTGCTTCCTGCTCTCGCTCCTGCTGACTCCTCTGGTTCCTGCTCTGACCCCTGCTCTGACTCCTCTGGTTCCTGCTCTGGCTCCTGTTTCCTGCTCTTGCTCCTGCTCTTACTCATTGGGCTCCTGCTCTGGCTATTGCTCTGGCTCCTGCTCTGACTCTTCTTGTTCCTGCTCTGGCTGCCCTGGTTCCTGCCCTGACACCTCTGGCTCCTGCTCTGGCTCCTGCTCTTACTCATTGGGCTCCTGCCCTGGATATTGCTCTGGCTCCTGCTCTGACTCTTCTTGTTTCTGCTCTGGTCCCTGCTCTGGCTCCTCTGGCTCCTGCTCTGGTTCCTCTGGTTCCTGCTCTGGCTCGTATGGTTCCTGCTCTGGCTTCCCTAGTTCCTGCCCTGGCTCCTGCTCTGGCTCCTCTGGGCCCTGCTCGGACTCATTGGGCACTGTTCTGGACCTGCTCTGGCTCCTCTGGCTCCTGCTCTGGCTTCTGCTCTGACTCATTAGGCCCCTGTTCTGGCTCTTCCGGCTCCTGCTCTGACTCATTTGGCCCGTGCTCTGGCTCCTCCGGCTCCTGCTCTGGCTTCTGCTAGGACTCATTAGGCCCCTGTTCTGGCTCTTCCGGCTCCTGCTCTGACTCATTTGGCCCGTGCTCTGGCTCCTCTGGCTCCTGCTCTGGCTTCTGCACTGACCCATTAGGCCCCTGTTCTGGCTCTTCCGGCTCCTGCTCTGACTCATTTGGCCCGTGCTCTGGCTCCTCCGGCTCCTGGTCTGACACATTGGGCTCCTGCTCTGGCTCCTGGGGCTCTGGCACATTCGACTCATGCTTAAGATTCCCTACATGCTTTCTCCACGACTGTGTCTGGACCTCCTACGGCAAAACATACTTGGTTAAATAACTACTAACCGAGAACAATAATAAATCCTACCCTATTATTTGGTTGTATAAACAATGGCAGCCTCTTTACAATGTTGTCAAGAGAACTGTTCAACCTCTTGAAGAATTTGTACAATGGATTTCTTCCGAGTTGGAATGGAATCATTTTCCCAATCCTAAATTGAGAAACCTTATCGTTTTGGATCTAATGTCTACAGCTAGCAAGGACTCACATATCAATGACTTGTTCACGGAAGTACGAGTGATTGCCATGAACCAAAACTTGCATTATAGTAAAGCTCCTACTCAGTGAAGGAGCTGCCACTATCTGGTCCTGTTCAACAACCCAATAGATCCACCACAAGTGATGACCCTACCGAGACAAACATAGCCAGGACATACACAGACATTTATGCAAAAGTATGGGGAAAGTATCACATAATCCTTTGCAGGCAAAGGACAAAGCGGTGCCTCCTTCTAAAGTGACCAAGACAAAGAAACCACCGTCTGGTGGAAAATGAATTGGCAGAAGAAATTCGAGGAAGTAAAGAAGTCACCACAAAACCTTTCTGTCTCAAAGTGGGAGATCAAATCAGACTTTATATTTTCCTGAGAATATGAGCGATGGACAGGGGAGATTTTCACCATTTCCCAGGAGATACTCCGAGGTGGTCTACCTTTGTCCCGTGTTAAGGTCTATAATGGAGATGATATTCAAGGGACTTTTCTACCAAAGAAAGCTGCAGAAAGTGGACATCAGACAGGATGACATGGAATGTTGAAACCCAAGGAAAAGATGCAAGCAAACAATATTTAGTCATCCATAAATCTTATCCTTACTTTGTACTCCAACTTCCAAATGCCTCTCAAAGAAAATGTTTAGTCAAGTGGTTTGCATTGGCCAAAGAAATTAAATTCGTTGGAAAAGGCATCTGATATACATTCATTGTAAATGAATATATTGTAAATGTAGGCATTGGGTAGGTCCCTGCAAGACCTGTGGCTACCTGAAACACGGGGATAATACAATGTCTATACAGAAACTGTACACTCTTGTTATTGTTTATTCCTTACATATTTGGATATCATATAATCAACTACGAATTTAACTATTGTTGTTTTAACGGATCAAAACTCCTAATCTCGCGGTCCGAGGTGTGATGGGCTGGGTTTGGTATTTCACTAAACAACGTATTGAAATTATTTGTTTTTGGAGGAGAGTATATGCTGTTCCGTCTTATAGTATGATTGTATCATTAGTTAAGATTCATCACGAAATGTGGCTTAGAGGTCTTTGGGACGATACAGGCTTATTTTACGATGATAAGCCTAGGATATACAGGTAGTTTAACACTACCCTCTCTTTTGAGCCTTACGTTCGCACTATTATATGAAGATGCCAACGTGGTTTATTAGTCAAATTCAGACTTGGACCTTGTTCGTAGATTTACTAGACCTGTAACACCTTTAGACACATTGTACCCATGTGGGGAATCGAACCCGGACCACTAGGCTATCCCACCGCCCCGCACCACTGTTGAGGTGAAGTACACTTTACAGCAAGCTGTGATCTTTTATTCAGACATTAGATATTCGTTATGGAGATCTGCAACTGAAGTTTACTGTAATATTCCGCAACTATCACCTGCTGACCAGTTGAACTTCTAAATGCGTTCTGGTGCCATTGTAAAATCTCTGGCTGCCTCTCATTTTATTTGACAGAGGCAGACGGGGGAAATCTAATGTGTTATGATAATCTTTGTTTACTGATATTTAATGTGTACATATTATAAAATATTTACGATAGTTTAAACGTGTAATTGGATACATGCAGTACTACGTGAGTATAAGTAGGGATATACTAAGGCGGTTATAGTTTTAGTGGATGGGTGTAGGCGAATGGTGGGAGGATGTATGTATGTAAGCACGAGTCAGTATGGGTATGGATACATGAGGGCGTATATAGTTATAGTTCGATGGATATTGGGAATAGGGGCAGGAGAGTGTATTTATGTAAGCATGAACACGGATATATGAGGACTGGCGCAGATACAGTGGTTCGATGCAGAGGTATGGTGTGGGTGTGTGTATGTATGGGTGGGTACGGATACTTTTTGTTGTTTCTCCTTTAAGTGTTTAAGGGGTCGCCTTCTGCCTAAGCAATTTCGTCTGACCTGTTCCTCTTTTTGGACTCAAGTGTGTGAGTAGGGTACACATATCTATTGCGAGTTTTAGTATTCATCGAATTTCTGTTTTTGTATTGATATGATTTCTATTCAATTTCACATTTGGCTGCTCTGTTTATATGCGTTCAAGTAGCCCCCCCCCCCCCCATACGTAATAATTTTGTTCGGATACAAAAGGGCGGATATATTTATACTGTGTGATGAATGTAGGGGAAGGGCGGAGAGGGGTGGGAGGGGTAAGCATGAGCTCGGATACATGAGGGCTCAGGCGGATATAGTGAGATGGATGTGGTGGTATGGTGAGTGGGGTGTGTATGTGTGTAAGCACGCGTACGAATACATTAGAGCGAATGTAGTTATAGTAAGACGGATGCAGGGGTATGGCGGAGAATGGCGGGTGTGGTGGGGAGAGGGCCCACGTATGCAGCCATGCGCATGGATCCATGGGGTCTGACATTCACAAAGTGAGATGGTTGTGGGGAAACGGTTGGGGAAGATGAATACGATGCGCGTGGGTGCATGCGTGCGTGCGTGTGTGTGTGTGGAGATAGGCGTACGTGTGTGTGTGTGTGGAGATAGAGGGTTGGGTGGTGGGGTTGCATGTTCGCAGGTACGAATATTGATACACGGGAGGACATGCAGACTTGGGATTGGGTGACTGAAAGTGCCTATGCTGACCTTACTTATACCGTTTCCTTATTATCTATAACGCATTTACGCATTTTAAAGACGTTGGTGTCTTATAGGTCATACTGGCCGGGCATTGAATATATTCCCGAACTACGTAACAATTTCTATGCTGTACAATGCTTGACACTTAAATACATATCTTCATCTTCTTCGTCTCTCTTCTTCTTCTGTTGCACATATTGATGCAGTGTCAATTTGTAGACCGTCTGGATTCCTAGTGCACCATAATCTTGAACGCGACGTTAAGCTCCATTTCACCTCACCACCTAATGCACCTGAACCACACTGGTTGTACTACAATAACTTACCTACCACTTCTTTTTAATTATAACCCTAACGGAAGAAACCGTTCCGCTATTATGAATCGTTTGAATGGTATTAGCATATGTAAAAACGTAAAATGCTACATTAAAAAAAATTGAACATTCACAAGAACTTCGATATGCCCTTCTTTGTCAACACAAATAGTGCTAGTGTCATCGCAGGGCGTGGGAGAGGAACTGCTCGGCATACCGTCTGCCTTTCAAAAGGTAGACCATGTATGTGAATAGCCCATCAATCATATTGCAAGCCCAAACAAGTCTCCACAATTCGGTACGTATGACAGTCAACTTTCCCTTTATGTCAAGCAGTATTGTAGTGGATCCAGCCATTGGTGTCCACATTCACAACTTTTGAGTTACAATCGAGATCTTTCTACGAAGATTTCAAAGAAGGTAAAATGACTCTGACTCAAAAGTTGTTTGATCAGGGCTACAACATTCAAGGTCTCAGTAAAACTTTGAAAACGTTTTATGGTAGAGATGTTGAGGTTCTTTCAAGATTTGACGCATCAGTGACTAGCGGTATACTTTCTATAAAACCATGAAAACAAAGCTATTTCTCTGCAATTGTGAAGTAATACATTGAAATCTTGATTCGTTTAGAATGGTTGTCAACGAAGGGACAATGTCAAGGAAAATGGCTGACACTGGTCAATGAGCAATATTCAAAGGCAGGAACACTCCGTACAAGGAACAAACAACTAAATGGTCTTTTCACTGTGACGTAGGTCAATACGAAGCTTAAAATAGGTCTTCAGCAACCCATGCGACTAGAGGCGACTTGGTTGATGCATGTCATCGCATGTATCGATGTTAATGATGTCAATCACTGAATTGTCTGGCCCAGACGCGATTATTTAAAAGACGCCATCATATAGCTGGAATATTGCTGAGTGCGGAGTTTAAACAAGTAACAAACATCACGAAGCAAATACGTGGCACGGTTGAGACGATGTCTGTATGGGTGAGACGAGGTCAAGTGTTGTCCGAGTGTACGGGTGAGTATGGGTGAGACGAGGTCAAGTGGCGTCCGAGTGTATGGTGGAGATGATGTCTGTATGGGTGAGACGAGGTCAAGTGTTGTCCGAGTATACGGTGGAGACGATGTCTGTATTGGTAAGACGAGGTCAAGTGTTGTCCGAGTGTACGGGTGAGTATGGGTGAGACGAGGTCAAGTGGCGTCCGAGTGTATGGTGGAGATGATGTCTGTATGGGTGAGACGAGGTCAAGTGTTGTCCGAGTGTACGGGTGAGTATGGGTGAGACGAGGTCAAGTGTCGTCCGAGTGTACGGTTGAGATGATGTCTGTGTGGGTGAGACGAGGTCAAGTGTCGTCCGAGTGTACGGTTGAGATGATGTCTGTATGGGTGAGACGAGGTCAAGTGTTGTCCGAGTGTACGGGTGAGTATGGGTGAGACGAGGTCAAGTGGCGTCCGAGTATACGGTTGAGATGATGTCTGTATTGGTGAGACGAGGTCAAGTGTTGTCCGAGTGTACGGGTGAGTATGGGTGAGACGAGGTCAAGTGGCGTCCGAGTGTATGGTGGAGATGATGTCTGTATGGGTGAGACGAGGTCAAGTGTTGTCCGAGTGTACGGGTAAGTATGGGTGAGACGAGGTCAAGTGGCGTCCGAGTGTATGGTGGAGATGATGTCTGTATGGGTGAGACGAGGTCAAGTGGCGTCCGAGTATACGGTTGAGATGATGTCTGTATTGGTGAGACGAGGTCAAGTGTTGTCCGATTGTACGGTGGAGACGATGTCTGTATGGGTGAGACGAGGTCAAGTGTTGTCCGAGTATACGGTTGAGATGATGTCTGTGTGGGTGAGACGAGGTCAAGTGTTGTCCGAGTGTACGGTGGAGACGATGTCTGTATGGGTGAGACGAGGTCAAGTGTTGTCCGAGTGTACGGTTGAGATGATGTCTGTGTGGGTGAGACGAGGTCAAGTTTTGTCCGAGTGTACGGTGGAGACGATGTATGTATAGGTGAGACGAGGTCAAGTGTTGTCCGAGTGTACGGTGGAGACGATGTCTGTATGGGTGAGACGAGGTCAAGTGTTGTCCGAGTATACGGTTGAGATGATGTCTGTGTGGGTGAGACGAGGTCAAGTGTTGTCCGAGTGTACGGTGGAGACGATGTCTGTATGGGTGAGACGAGGTCAAGTGTTGTCCGAGTGTACGGTTGAGATGATGTCTGTGTGGGTGAGACGAGGTCAAGTTTTGTCCGAGTGTACGGTGGAGACGATGTATGTATAGGTGAGACGAGGTCAAGTGTTGTCCGAGTGTACGGTGGAGACGATGTCTGTATGGGTGAGACGAGGTCAAGTGTTGTCCGAGTGTACGGTTGAGATGATGTCTGTGTGGGTGAGACGAGGTCAAGTGTTGTCCGAGTGTACGGTGGAGACGATGTCTGTATGGGTGAGACGAGGTCAAGTGTTGTCCGAGTGTACGGTGGAGACGATGTCTGTATGGGTGAGACGAGGTCAAGTGGCGTCCGAGTGTATGGTGGAGACGATGTCTGTATGGGTTAGACGAGGTCAAGTGGCGTCCGAGTGTACGGGTGAGTATGGGTGAGACGAGGTCAAGTGTTGTCCGAGTGTACGGTTGGGATGATGTCTGTGTGGGTGAGACGAGGTCAAGTGTTGTCCGAGTGTACGGTTGAGACGATGTCTGTATGGGTGAGACGAGGTCAAGTGGCGTCCGAGTGTACGGGTGAGTATGGGTGAGACGAGGTCAAGTGTTGTCCGAGTGTACGGTTGGGATGATGTCTGTGTGGGTGAGACGAGGTCAAGTGTTGTCCGAGTGTACGGTGGAGACAATGTCTGTATGGGTGAGACGAGGTCAAGTGGCGTCCGAGTGTACGGTTGAGATGATGTCTGTATGGGTGAGACGAGGTCAAGTGTTGTTCGAGTGTACGGTGGAGACGATGTCTGTATGGGTGAGACGAGGTCAAGTGTTGTCCGAGTGTACGGTGGAGACAATGTCTGTATGGGTGAGACGAGGTTAAGTGGCGTCCGAGTGTACGGTGGAGACGATGTCTGTATGGGTGAGACGAGGTCAAGTGTTGTCCGAGTGTACGGTGGAGACAATGTCTGTATGGGTGAGACGAGGTCAAGTGTTGTCCAAGTGTACGGTTGAGATGATGTCTGTATGGATGAGACGAGGTCAAGTGTTGTCCGAGTGTACGGTTGAGATGATGTCTGTATGGGTGAGACGAGGTCAAGTGTTGTCCGAGTGTACGGTTGGGATGATGTCTGTATTGGTGAGACGAGGTCAAGTGGCGTCCGTGTGTACGGTTGAGACGATGTCTGTATGGGTGGTGAGTCGAAGAGGACGAGGTCAGTGTCATTTAACCATCTAGACATACATGGTCGTAATTGCACATTCTTTGACTAAAAGTGTGTTTGACAAATTGTTTTAAGTTAACAGGACGTCCTTACTGTTTAATCTAAGTAAGAAAGTTCGTCCCGATTGGTTATAATATACTATATCGACAGAGAAGATCGTGGGAACGTGTACTAAATGAACAAAACAATTTAGTGTTGTGTTTGGAAGCCAGGTCGAAGATGAACTTCTTCACACGGAAGTATGTTATGCGTTCCAAAACTTGATTGGTAGGAACGGTTGTTCATCGTTCTGGTTAGACTGAAACACGTTCATGAGGAATGCAAGATGATCTTTCTCTGATCCGACTTGGAGTACCAAAAGGGTTATTGTGAGAAAAAATATCGCGGTCGCGGTACGTTAAAATTAATATGGTACTAAGGAAACAAATGTCAAAATGTTCGAATGTTGTACTTCCAAACTCTATTTGATTAATCCAATACAGTGTACTAATCTAATAGTTTAATAAACATGTATCGCAGTGTCCATGTTTGTCTTTGCTATTTACAACTGCCTTGTGGTAGGACACATTCCACCAAGACTCTGGAAGAACTTTATTTTGATCCTTAAGAAAGAGGATCCTATTATCGAGCAGCAACATTACAGTCTGCTTTAAAAGAACGTGGAATAAAATTCAGCCTAAAGAAAGAAAAGGAGTTTCTGGAAGACAAGAATGCGTTCATTGTACAAGCCAGTGAAGTGTAGGTTTCCTGGACGACGTGTTCGAATATGAGCGAGATGAAATGTGGAACATGGACCTTGCTGATGTCATTCGTTATTCAAGCCAGGGCATTGGGTCTCTGTTTAAGCGTAAATCCGTGAAGATTCCGGGGTAGAATACGTCTTCAGCAACCCGTACTTGCCGTAAAAGGCGACTATGCTTGTCGTAAAAGGCCACTAACGGGATCGGGTGGTCAGGCTCGCTGACTTGGTTGATACATGTCATCGATCCCAATTGCGTGGATCGATGCTCATGATATTTATCACTGGATTGTCTGATCCAGACTCGATTATTTACAGACCGCCGTCATATAGCTGAAATATTGCTGAGTGCGGCGTTTAACAACAAACCAACCAACCAACCAACTGTTCAAGCGTAAACGATGGTGTGCGTTATTTACTAATAGCAATAGAAATTGTATCTCGATATTTCTCGGTCAAACAATTTAAGAACAAACCAAAAAAAACCTGAGAAGTTGGTAGAAGGTTTGATAACTATTTTCGTGTACCTAAAAATGTTCGTGTCGACAAGGGTCTGGAATTTGCGGGTGTTTTTGAAGGATTATGTAGGTAAACAAGGTATAAAGCTAGTAGTTACACAATACGAAGATATTAAAGCTAATTATGCAGAAAGAGTATATTCGCACATTTAGGTCACTCATGACGAGGTATTTAACGCATAATAACACACATGTACATTGTTGCCCCATCAGAGTTGGTTAAGAATTACAACGACAGACTACACAGGAATCTTTAGAATCTGGTCTCACTTGTACATGGAACCAGTTCTATCCAAGACTGCCTTTTGACAATACCCGCAAATGGGACAGCGGCGTAGTTGGATGGACAGTCGTCACGACACGGCAACAAGTAGAATAACGGTAATGTCGTGGGTCTGAACAATGACCTTTGAACCAAGGGGACATTGGCCATTCAGGGATATACACTGGACTCCTGGGTAATTATATCCTGGTCAATAGAACCAAGGTATCAGATTAGTAGAGGCTGGACCAAGAGGGATTGACGACCGGGGAAATGACAAACATCAAAGTACAACCCTGGTCAGTTATGCCCTAGTTGAGATTGATTTGACAGGGGGTATCCAACTTGGCACAAGGCCAGTGAGATTAAAGATCATCATAATATCATAATAACAACTCACTCATGCATGGTGTTTCCAAACAAAGAAATTCAGCTGACGACTCGGGGTATATAAGTGACCAGGCAGCAGACCTGGGGACTTCAGTTTGAGTTTTAAACTTGACTTGCTGCTGATACTTCTCACACGTGTTGTCCAAATAAACAGTTGTGGACGCTCAGACGGACGTGTGCTGTTCACGTCGAATTCACCAAACTCTGAGGTGTGACACTACCGTGTTTCCTCTATTAGACGCCCGGGCTTCTATATATTTCGGACAAGCCTTTGACCCGGCGTCAAATAGAGGCCCGGCGTCTATTAATACCCCCATTTCACTATGACAAAGAAATTAAGTCCCAAAAAGGGATAATTAATTGTATCAATTGATCGACCCGGCGTCTCTTAGAGGCCCGGCTTCTATTTTTTGCACTGAACAATTGACCCGGCTTCTAATAGAGTCTCGGCGTCTAATAGAGGAAATACGGTATGTACAAACTGAGAGATGTCCACAACGAGCTACTGAATAGACGTATCAGGTGATTCAGGTGACAGATAAGTAGGAAAGGAAGTTTCTCAAGAAAAAAACAGAAAAGGGGCAAATGTATTATTTGGTACATAGGACAGGATGTCCCTCTTGTTTTGATTCGCGAGTAGAAGAAAGTCAAATTCAAAACGTTTGAGAAAGCATATATTTGTAATTTTTAAAATTAATTTTAAATATGTTGTTGTTGAACAGTTCTGACTCCTAACATTATCTCTCAAACACACCCTACCGTTTTCGAGTGAAGCTATTACATCGGTTGAAACTAGGACTGTGGTTAGTAGCTCTAGCTGAGTTAAAGTTTGGTAAACTTGTCCTGAAAGATGTCAATAACACAAATATGGTGTCTTGTGCAACCTCTGTGACAATTCATATGTGGGTGTAGATTATATTCCGTTGTTAAGACGAGTGAATGCGATAGACCCAATTACACGTTTCAACATGTGTGGTATATGCCAGTGAAAGATACATCTTACATTAATCTAAGTGTACTCGGGGGACACAACATTCATTCCTCAAAGGCGAAGTGAACGTGTCACTTCTTCTCAGACATGATCCATTCCTAGACTGACCTTTGGCTGTAAATGACATATTTCCGATCCCAGTAAATGGCTGAAGTTCTTTGAGAACGGAACTACAAAAGAGCAATTGAAGCTCATTCACAATGGACTAGTACACATATGATTCCACCAACCACTAATAATGCAAGTTTAAGTCCGTTTGATGTAAGATCGTACAGATGAAATGCAAAAAAGATATAATTTCGAAAGCATTTGTTCAGTATGAAGCTTTAATTCCGGTCCTAACTTTGTCAATGCACCCACTCTGACTTGCAATAAACATAAACGTGAAATACCAATGTTTTCAAATTATCTGTGAATTTCATCATGTACCGTATTGTATTGATATATTGAGCTCGTTCTGTTATTTTATTATTTGCATTTGAAATTAGCTGAATAGCAATGCAAAGAACACCACTAACATTTTGCTGAGAATATTTTACAGATTCTCCTTGTATAATCCGTTCAATAACTACTACAGAGAGATATTCTTCTGGTTAAGCCTTTTCATTTGACAGGATTCTCCTTGTATAATCCGTTCAATAACTACTACAGAAAGATATTCTTCTGGTTAAGCCTTTTCATTTGACTGGGTTTTTTTTCAGAAAAGACACTAGTAGGTTGGCCTAACACGTGCGAATTTCACGTGCGAATGTAGGGCTATTACGTTTACAGTGCAGACCCCCTTCTAACCACAGGCATAAATCACGATACATGAGAGTTTGTAAAACAACTTTTTCTACCCTTCATGACAATGTCTGAAATTATGATGGCGATTGGTATGGACAAATAAAGGCCAATTCATGCTATTTAAGACGAATTGTTGCTTTCGGGTATATATTTATTTTGCGTTTCCTCTGTACAGTTTGGCAGCAAACTGACCATACTCGACCTGCGCCTCCACCATCAACGAAGCTAGAAGTAACCTCCACGAATTAAGACTGGTGGAAAGGGCTGTATTAGCACGGAAGGGGGCCAAAGTAACAAGGAAAGCAGTAGAGAAGATCGTCACATTCAAGAGGTGCGCCTTGGAATAAACACCAAGACTCCTGCTGTGGGAAAAAAATGTTACGTTTGTGAAAGGTCCTAACTAATCTACCTAGCCATGTCCGTACACTCGAGAAAAGGGCGTTACCAGTTCGTTAGAGCTATACGAAAGTCGAGTGTGTCAAACATCAGTACTTGCGTATCAAGGCATCCGGTCCATCCTCTCTCTCCTATCACAGGCTCTGGCCCGGTAGAGTTCCAAATTACAAACGGGGAAGCGTGTCTCCCATGCTGGTGGTGCTGTAATGAGTCTACTCTACTGCATGACGACAGACGAACATGCATCTTCCCGAGGCAAGGGCGTTAACTGACTATAAAAGTCCATTTTCCATCCTTGCCGAACTAGGCTGGAATTTCTGGGCTCGATCGTAGCGCCACCAGTGGCTATTACGAGTTATGTCCCTTCTATGTCCCTTCTATTGGCCAATCAGATTCTATCTCTCATTTCACTTGCATTTGCTTAAAACAAAATGGCGGCACCCAGTCAAAAATCTGATCGCTAATCAAGATGTCTACTGTAATAGAAGAAGAAGAAGAAGAAGAACTTTTATTTGCATGAAGGTCTCGGGCCCATATACAATTACAGTTCACAATATACCAATTGTTCACAGATGCAACGGTAAAGTAACGTGACACATGACTTATGTCATAATTGAATTGTACTACTTGTTCTTTTTGCATAAGCGTAATATAGGAAACGTGATAAACTATTTAAGACTGCTTCATTGTTATTACACATAATAGATTTAAAATGGTTCAAGCTAGGATATCGGCAAAGTTTTGCCGGTAAGTATTCTTTTCTGAAATCATTATAACATGAACAAATGAGTAAAAAATAAAATTCATCCTCTATACCATTATTACAGACTGGGCATATTCGAAGAGACTTTTCTATGGACAGATATCTGCCTTCATTATTCTTCAATTTAAAAAGACCTGCTCTAAATCTTACAATTATGTTTCTAAATTTTCTTT